CTGTGAGTTCGAAGCCAGCCTGGTCTACAGAGCGAGATCCAGGAAAGGCGCAAAGCTACACAGAGAAACCCTGTCTCGAAAAAAACCAAAAAAAAAAAAAAAAAAAAAAAAAAAAAAAAGAATCAAATATATAGGACCAGTCCTGTTCAAATCATTGCAGTGACTGTAAGTGCTTGTGAGTGCTCATGCCTGTGGATGCCTGAGGTTGACATTAGGAATTATCATCATTATTCCTCCACCTTGTAAAATGAAGCAGCATCTCTCCCCCAAATCCAGAGCCTGACTGCACAGCGGTTCTCCTTAGCCAGTTTGATCCGGGGACCCCCTGTCTCTGCCTTCTCGGACTTGAACAGAAGGCAGTCTCCACTCCCACTGGGCATTTACTTGGGTTCTGGGTCTGAAGATCCAAAAGCTGGTCTAGACTCTTCATTCTTGAATGGCAAGAGCTTAACCACTGAGCCATCTCTACAACCCTGAATAGATTTGGGTGAGTATCAATACCTTGGAAAAGGATAATTTAAAGTTAAAGGCAATTCTTACATGAAAACTGTTCTGGTTGGTTTTATTGTCCACTTTTGCCAAAGCTAGAGTTACCTGGAAACAGAAACCTCAAGTGAGAAAATTAGATTGGCCTATAGGCAAGACTGTGAAAATTTTCTTAATTAATGGTTGATATGGGAGGGCCAAGCTCACCATGGGTAGTATCACTTCTAGGCTGGTGGTCCTGAGTTGTATAAGGAAGCAGACTGAGTAAGCCATGGGAAGCAATCTAGTAAGTAGCATTCCTTCACTGTCTCTGCTTCAACTTCTGTTTCCAGATTCCTTTCCTGACTTCCCTTGAGATGAACTACAGACTGCAGGCAGAGATAAACCATTTCCTCTGGAAGTTGTTTTTGATCATGATATTTATCACCACAATAGAAAGAAAACGAAGGCAAAGCTAAGCAGCACCAGTGGTGGTTAGAAAGAAAACTTTATACTGTGCAGCAAGCGACCCTATGAAGCTAAGGAGCAAGCACAGGAATTGAGAATGCCCTGCTCCAGAGAAAGACATGTATGTGGGCAAAACAGGTCTTTTATGACCAGGGAGTCACTTGCTGAGGAAAGGGGAATGGTGACAGAGAATGCTAAATAATAAGAGACAGACATTTGGAAAATCCTCCCAACTTTGAGCTCTTGGCAATTAAAGCCAAAAATAAGAAAGAAGGAAATAACACAATATAAGTATAAATTAAAGAAATATAAATCAATCATACAATAGAAAAAAAAATGCAATAAACCAGAAAAGATTCATTGAAAAGGCAGATATAATCAGTAAGTCTCTAGTAAGTCTTACCAAGAATGAGACTATCACCAATGTCTAAACAAAAATGGAGTTATCACCATATAACCTAATACAAAGAAAACAATAGATCTTAACAGACATAAAGAAAGCACTTGGTAAAATACAAAATCATTTATGATCAAAAAAGTTATACAGAACAAGTATATTGTTTTTATATATTTATGAACACAACACACACACACACACACACATATATATATATATATATATCTCAATTAAAGTAAAAGATTCCAGAGACCATGACCTTGAGAGAGCAATGGGGGTACATGGGATGGGTTGGAGAGAAGAAAGAAAAAGGGGAAAATAATTTAATTGTATTTTGATTTTAAAACTTTTTAAATTAAAAATAATGATACCAACCTAGAGCCATCTGGGAAGAAATATCAACTAAGGAATTGTCCAGATCAGATCGGTCTACTGCCATATCTGTGATATATTTTCTTAATTTCAAGTTGATATAAGAGGGTCCAGCCCACTGTGGGCAGTGCCATTCCTAGGCAGGTGAACCTGGGCTATAGAAGAAAGGTAGTTGAGTAAGTAAAATTTACTGTAGTTGATATATTGTACTCCCCAATAGACTTATCTGGGGGTCAGAGAACAGAACAGCCACTGTATTAAACATAGAGGTTAGGCAGTGGTAGCACACACCTTTAATCCTAGCATTCCAGAGGCAGAGATCCACCCAGATCTCTGAGTTCAAGGCCACACTGGAAACAGAGCCAGGCATGGTGCCACAAGCCTTTAATCCCAGCACTTGAGATCTCATGTCTTGCTTGGAAAAGACACATGCCTTTAATCCCAGGAAGTGATGGCAGGAAGCAGAAAAGTATATAAGGCATGAGGACCAGGAACTAGAGGGTTTTTTTTAAGCTTTTAGGCTTTTAGCAGCAGTTCAGCTGAGATCCATTTGGATGAGGACTCAGAGGTTTTTCAGTCTGAGGAAACGATCAGCTGAGGAATTGGCGAGGTAAGCTTGGCTATGACTTGTTCTGCTTCTCTGATCTTTCAGTATTCACCCCAATACCTGGCTCTGGGTTTGTTTTTATTAATAAGACATTTTAAGATTAGTGCTACAATTTACTGAGGGAGCAAACCAGTAAACATCATGCCTCAATGGTCTTTACTTCAGTTCCTGGTTGAAGTTCCTACTTGAGTTCCTGCAGTAACATCCCTCAGTGATGGACTGTGATTTGAAAACATGATCCAAATAAAGCCTCCCTTTCCCAAAATAAAACTGCAAATAAAAGTTCCCAAATCTGACTAAGAGTATCCACTGAATAAACAGTAAGACCCTATTCCTGAACCACATACTTGAGTCATAGAACATGGGAAAAAACAATCTGATACTCACCTGGAAGTGTCATCCCTAATGGCTAGCTTTCACAGTGATGAAAGGTGCTATGTGTGCTACCAGAGGAGAAAAATAATTATCAGTCTTACCCAGCTGTGAGCCCTGTAAGCCATAACAATGACTGTCCTGGAAAGACATGCCCACCAGAAGACACACCCAATGAAATACATGCAACAGTGGCACAAACGTCTTGGGAGTAACCAACAACTTTCCGATTGGAGTTAAAGCCTGCTCCACAATATGAAACTCATACCGGGCACTATGGTAGAGACAAATAACCTATGGCTAAGCAGGTCATAGGCCCTAGGAGAGAACCTACTACTATTATTCTCTAACTGGACATCTTGCTAAAATTATTTCTGATAACTTATTGTTATACCCATAGACTAGTGCATCTCTCAACCCTCATCAGAGAAGCTTCTTTTTGCAGTAGATGGATAGTAACACAGAGATTCACAACTGGTCAAGGCATGGACAAAAGGAGAGTGCTAAGTACTCAGTCTTAAATGAAACATTCATGTTGTACCTCCCTCCAAAGCTCAGTGATCATTATGGAAGAAAGGGGAGAAAGACAGTGAGAGCCGAGGGCAGTAAATGACTGCAAGAAAACCATTTTTTTTCTGGACATAGCAGGGAAATTGTAAATATGGACTCACAGTGGTTGTGAGACATACACACAAGACCCATGCAAGCTTAAGCCAGGCCAAATCCCAGCATGAAGTAGGGAGGTAGGCATAAATCCCACCCCTAGCTGAGGAGCTATTGGCCATTGAGAGCTACTGGGAGAGGTAGAGTCCATTTTCTTTAAGGATCTAGCACCTTCTAGGTTGACCAAGAGTATACGGGCAGCAGAAATCAGACTCAATAGATTATTTTTTTAAATAAAGACACAGAGTTGGGTGGACAGGGAAAGCAAGTGGATCTGAGAGGAGTTGGAAGAGGAGGAGTGAATATGATCTAAGTATATCATATGAAAATTTCAAATAATTAATAAAACATAATAAAGTAAGACAAAACTCTCTCTGCTTCTGTTCCATGTACAAAAAAAAAGAAACAAAGGTTTTGAAAACAGGGAAACATAATCAGAGATCTTTGCCATATATCTACCCAATAAATACCATCTGTATTAGTCAGCTTTGCATCTCAAAATGCCTGAGATAAACAGTTTAAATGGAGGAGAGATTTGTTTTGCCTCAGAGTTTCAGAGGTTTTAGTCCATGGTCACCCACATCACTTTGGGACTACTAAGAGGTAAAATATAATGGCAAAGGCACATGTAAATGAGGCGGCTTACCTCGTGGTGGCTGGGAAGCAAAAATAGAAAGGAGGGGCCAGAGTCCCAATACCCACTTCAGGAGCTAGGTGCCAGATACCCAACTTCATTCTACTGTGCTCCACCTCTTAAACGTTCCAGACTCTCAACAGTGCTACAGACCAGCAGACAAGCCTTTAGCAAATGAGTCTTTGAGAAACATTTCAGATCAAAACCATAATACGGTATATCCATGCTGTATATGGAACTGTAAATTGAGACCATTGGGACATGGACAAATATTTGTACCACAGAAGGGATAGTGAAACAGTTATACATTTTTAAATATAAGATCAAATTCCTCAGGGAAAAACAACTTAAAATCACAGATGCCTTCATGCTCTCACCAAAAATGTAAAAATGAGAGAGACTGAAAATGCCAATGTCTTGAGTGGAAGGGACACAAGCTGACCTTTCACACATAGATGCCAGGAGTTTAAGTCCATACAACTAGTTTAGAGAACTGCTTTGGCTGAACAAGCACACAACTATGTTCAACCAACGACGTGTGCAAAAATAGTAATAGCATGGTTCTTCATCATCACTGAAATTACAGGTAACCCAAATGTCCATCAGTAGCAGACTAGAGAAATATATTGTTGTATAATGAAGTATTCAGTGCACTGCATGCAGTGAGAAGGAATGGAACCCGCAGTCAACACAAGGCATTGCTCAAGCACAATGTTAAGCCAATGCAGAAAGACAGATACAAAGCTATCACACGTTATTTAATTATTTTATTTACATGAAGTTCAGTAGTAAGCAAAGCTAGCTAAGGTGATGGGAGTCAGGGCAGAGGTTTCTTTGGCAAGGGTGAGATGATTAAGAAGACTATTGTGGGCATTTCCAGGTGTTGTTAATATCCTGCTTCTTAATCTGATGTCTGCTCATTTTTTTTAAAGCATATTAGACTGTACACCTATTTACGTATACATTGCTGAGCTGGTGGTATGTCTGAATAAAAAACCTTGAAAGGAAACACAGACACTTACATTGCTTCCCGTGTTCCTGCTGCAGCGAGAAGCAGATCTTGCTGACACTGCTGTTGCTCTCGGTGTGGTCTCTAAACTGAGAGCATCGCAGGGAATCCGGCCAGGAGGAGTTCACCATCCCCAGGACAGACTCACACCCTTCTTTTGCAGCCTCACAGAAAGATCTACAGGGCAGGAGGCCACGCCTAAACAGAAAGGAAAGGGGACGGGATTAATATCGTTACAGAGCAGTTCTCAAGACAATAATAATGGTATTAAAGCTAGCCGGCAGCAAGCTAATGTGGGCCATTAACTTACATTTATTACCTACAGTCAGCAACTTAAACTTCTATATTCAGTCCTGTGACAATTTCAGCCAGCCAATTATATGGATTCTGGGGAGAATAAGCTAGTTTCACAACACATAATATAGTCACCTCTTATAGAAGCATTTCTCCCAAATGATTGTTCTTAAGATTCTTGTGTTAAAATACACTACCAGTCAACAAAAAAAAAGGAGAGGCCCCCAATTTGAAAGAGCAAAAGCAGGTCAAAAAGTATATTACCCTCACTTTTTATCTTCCCTTTGAGAAATCCAAGCTATCTCTTAGAGACAAATAGAGAAAACTGTTCTTTATCCTCCCTGGCTTTCATGGAAACCTCACACAGACAAGTTGCAGCTCAGGAAATCTTGTGTACTTAAAAAAAGAAGAAAAAGAGGAAAATTTATCAGACTTCTGCTTTGTATTCTGCAGAGTAAAAGACTAAGCCACCATTTGTTAATAGAGTAAAAGACTGAGCCACCGTTGGTTAATAGTAAAAGCAACAATGCCTCAGGAGCTTGCCCTCATCCTGCTTGGGTGTAACCAAACACTCCTAGATCCCAGGTTTGCCATGGGGATGTTATAGCAATGTCAAGGCCATGGACTGGTCTCCTCTCAGAGACAAGTGACCTTCTCAGACTCACAGCTATACTGTGTATATTTTATCTTTGCCAGTCTCTGTGCCAAAGGCATTTCAAAAGGATTTTAAGGACATTGGGAAAGAAATAGAAACTTTGTGTGAGTCCCATCAAAAGAACTATTTCAAGTCTTGATATCACAGAATCATACAATGTTTGATCACTGTAATAAACCTTTACTGGGAAGCACAGGCCCATGAAGATTCTGGAGCAGATTCAAATGTCACACACTTGTTACTACTGGCTTCATGATGGCAGAGGTAAGAAGAGAAAGCTGGTCTGTGAGTTTTGAGGCCTTGATCTATACACCACCCAACAATGTCTATTCTCGTATAACAACTGGACTTTACATACTCCTTGATTAAACAAACCTTGTATAGCATACCCCATTTGCTCCATAGATTACAGAAACATGATGGGACCTGCCCTTCATGGGTTAGATTGGATCTCACATGGTCTTTGAGAGCCTTGAAAAAGAGATCTTGTTTTATCTAAGAAGTGGAAGAGTTTTCAATGTTCACATTGTGTGGTGGTGATGGGGTCATACTCAGGGCATTGCCCATGCTGCTGATCTTAGATTTCCTATTCCCTGTTCTTATTTTGAGATAAGATATCACTAAGTTGCCCATGCTGGCCTTGAACTCATTCTGTAGCCCGAACAGACCCTGAACTTGTGATCATCCTACATCAAACTACCAAGCTACTGGTATTACATGCCTTCACCACCAGACATTCCCCCAACAATGAATGACATTCTAATAAAAAAAAATCTTTTTGATCTCTAAAAAGCCATACTAAAATTATCTTTTAAAATAATCTATTTAAATTAATATGTAACTAAATTTGATAGTGAAGGTACAGGAAGAGAAGTTTTGCATTTGAACAAGTTACATTGAGAACGTAAAACATGAATTGGTCCTGATGAGCACTCAGGAATATATTAGTGTCTTAGTGTTTTTATTGCTGTGATAAAACACATGACCAAAGCAACATATAAAAGAAAGCATTTAATTTGGGGCTTACAGTTTCAAAGAGTTAGCGTCCATGATGGAAGAACAAAGGCATGGTGGTAGGAACAGCTAAGAGCTCACATCTTGGATCCACAAGTAGGAGACAGAGAGAACTAACTGGAAAAGGCGAGGGCTTTTGAAACCTCAAAGCCTACCCCAAGTAACACACCGCCTCCAACACAGACCTCTTAATCCTTCCCAAACAGTTCCACCAGCCGGACTACTATGAAGACGAAGTATCCAAGCATATGAGCATCTGGCAGCCATTCTCATTCAAACCACCATTAGGTATTTACAGAAAGAACTAAGAGTGGACAAGTCTCCCCAGCATTTACGGGAACTTTCTCCGGTTCTGAGGCCACTTAATCCTCACCATCCTGTGTTTTTTCTCAGTATCTCCCGGGGCAACAGTGCTGATGAAGTTTCACACAGGGGCCCAGCAGCCTTTCTTCATGTCGTGAAGTTAAGTCTTTAATTCGGAAACTAACTCATCATCATGGAGACGCTTACCCTCTGCCATGCTCATTTTCCTAAGTCCCCCACCCCAGACCCTCCCATGGATACTCTACTACTATCTGACCTTGAGCCAAGAGTTCATTCATGCCAAGACTCAGTTCCCCTATTTGAATGGTGGGGGATTTGGAAGAGGTCAAGTTTGGACCATTTCCCATAATTCTCTTATTGTGAACACTTTGTAAATTTACATTCACTCTTTAGAGCATGTTTCTCAGAGGAGCACTGAGGCTATGATGACCCCATCAGCCTTGCTGAACTGCAAGAAGTAACAGCCATTTTTCTCAAAGCTTGTGCTGGGGAGATCTAGAAATACTAAAATACCATTAGGTCATCTGTTCTCAAGTTAGTGCTAGGAAAACTGTCTAGAGTGTTTCCAAATAGGTCTCCTAAGAGGTGTAACCGACTGAAACCCATGAGTTTTACATTGCTGGACTGGGATAAGTGAGTTGGGGGTAGAGTATTAATAGCTATGAGCTCTTGCAAACAGTGAGCAAAGGAGGAGCCATTTGTTCCTGATTTGCCTGAAATTCAGCTGCCTGGGAAGCATCCATGTGTTTTGCTTTCCATCACAGAAAACAGGGTGTTGAGACAGGTTACACTATTTTGGAATATGAGTGTCGATATCCAAGCAGCAGCACGCTGGCAACTGGAGAAGGTCCACTTGGGCTATCAGAATGACTATTTTAGAAAGGCTGATTGTTCTTCATTGCTGTGTGAAGTACATTTGATGTGGTGCAAAACAGACCCTGGTGCATTTCAACTCCAGGGAAGGCAGACAGTGCTGATGCACCTCTACAATTATTCATTGACACGTTTGATAAATTTGGAAATATGCTACCACACAGTGATAAAGGGGCTTGTCGTATTTTCACTAGGAAGGTTGTTTTTAAATAATTAGACTACCAAAAATATTTTTCATTTAATCTATAATTTCATTACTGAATTTATTTCCAGGGAATTTTATTATGATACATCTAAAATATCTAGATGCTTATGTGGAAAATTTTTATGATAGTCATAAATGTAAATTTACTAAATAAGCTAGAACTACAAAATAAACTTATGGCCAGCAGGCTTTTAAGAGTTATAAATCATGTTTTTCTTTTTAAAAACATTTCCTTTTCAATTTAAGTTACTGTTTAGTGATACTTCATAAAAATTCTTTGAGAATTTCGCATAACCACCACCATCATGCAATATATTCTGACCAAATTCATCCCTCATTTCTCCCCATACTGCCTTCCAGATCCACCATCACCTCCAAACCCCTAATTTTGTGTCCTTTTGTTTTTAATAAACTATTGAGCCCAATTTGTGCTGTCCATCCACTCCTGAATTCAGAGGCATCCACCAGGGTGTGCTTGACCTACTGCAGACCAAACTCTCGAGGAAAATTTACTCTCCATCCCCAAAATATATCAACTGTTCACAGGTGCCCAGAGGTGAGATCTCAAGAATCTCCTTCACACTCTATGCTGGAACATCAACTGGCGTGGTCTTGGGCAGGTAGCCACAGCTGCTGGGGGTTTATGCTACAGTCATCCCAACAAGTCCAGAAGAAACTGTTTTGCTCTGGTCCTCTCTGACTTCTGACTCCTACAATCTTTTTGCCCTTTCTTCCAGGATGGGTCCCTGAGCCTTGGCTGGAATAATAGATGGTCCATTTGTGACTGTGCCGGCCACAATCACTGATTCTCTTCTCTGCGTGTTGACCAGCCACCATCTGCCTTAGCCACCATCAGATGCACAAAGAGACTTCGCTGATGAAGTCCAAGAGCTGACCAAGTGATGGGTATGGAGATACAAAGTTAGAGAGCAGGTCAATAATTTGTCCACTGGAAAGAATAATGGTAGTAGGCTCACCCCTAGGGCCTAGGAGATCCCTAACCCAGGGTTCTAGGCCAGATTTACAATTTGTGTCACATGTTTCCTCCTGTTGAGCAGGCCTTAAATCCAAGCATACAACAATTGGTTACCCCCATAACGTTCCTGCCACTATGGCTCCCACAGGTCGCTGCTGCAGTTCACAGATGGGGAAGCCTCTTGGTTATGCCCACCACTACCACCAGGTCCTGTGCAGGTGCTTTTCCTTGGGTTCCCCAAAAGCAATCATTTCATATAACTATACTTAGAAAAACCAAGAAACTAACAGCAGTACAATGCCTTTGAGACAAATGTCCTATTTAAATATTGTTAAATATCTCCGTTCAGAATCTCATATTGCAGTTGTCAAATTCTATTTTTGATAAGCTATGCTTAAAATATTTTAGAAGAACTTCAGATTTAAAACTCTTTTTTTGTGGGTATAGGGGAGGATGATTTGCAGCAGGGAGAACTGAAAACATTGCCTGTGGTCTCTGCCTTCTACTGATCCTGCCTCTGAAAGCCCCCCTCTTGAGTATGTACTGGCTTACTGACTTACTTCCAACCATAGAAACTAATAGGATGACATTTCACTATTGAGCTACACATAATTGTGACTTCTATTTTATTCACACCCCCACCACTGGAGCTCTAACAATCAGGACTGTGATTACCTTGTCTTTATTTGTAATAATCATGGTTCCAGCAGGGAAAAGATGACCCACTAAAGTTGGAGCACTTCATGGTATTCATTTGAAAGAACCACTGATGAAGGCAGGGTTTCCTAATACTAGCAAGGGTTAGTGCAATGGTCTGGGGCCAGGAACTGTTGACACCTAAGTTTAAAAAGGAAAGG